TGGAATCTGAGAAAATAGCCTTCGGGGCTTATAAGGAGAAGGCTCGTAGCAAGGTTCTGTCTCAGCATCAGGCTGGGTTCAACTAGGCGGCTCGGCAGGCGCGCCACTTTGGTGACTTCCCCTTGGACTTCCATCTGGATATGACCAAGGACTTCTTCCAGGGGAAGTTAGTGGATCTAACCTCTATCCCGTCGGATCAACAGCTGGACGAGGAGGCTCCGGTTCGAGAAGCCGGGCCGAACGAGGAGACGGCCTATGAGGAAGGCACCCCGGAAGATGGCCCAGTGCAGGGGGATGCGGAGGTGCAGTCTTAGGTTTAGGTTTTTGAACTTTCCTTTTTGTATGAATGGGCCGATAGTGCCCCTTTTTTTAATTGTTGTTCTCCAGGCCGATAGCGCCTTTAATGAATTTGTGTTGCCATTACTCCTTAGTTGTTCAACTTACTCTGCTTGTGTAATACGGGAAATTGACCTGTAAAAATAATTAAAGCCACATCGTTGGCCGAGAGACATCTCGGGAGGGAAGACTTGTAAAAATTAAAGCCACATCCTTGGCCGAGAGGCATCTCGGGAGGGAAGACTTATAAAAATTAAAGCCACATCCTTGGCCGAGAGGCATCTCGAGAGGGAAGACTTGTAAAAATAATTAAAGTCACATCCTTGGCCGAGAGACATCTCGGGAGGGAAGACTTGTAAAGATAATTGAAGCCACATCCTTGGCCGAGAGGCATCTCGAGAGGGAAGACTTGTAAAAATAATTAAAGTCACATCCTTGGCCGAGAGACATCTCGGGAGGGAAGACTTGTAAAGATAATTTAAGCCACATCCTTGGCCGAGAGACATCTCGGGAGGGAAGACTTGTAAAGAATGCCGAGAGACATCTCGGGAGGGAAGACTTGTAAAAAATTAAAAGGTAAAAATGCAAAGCAAGTCAAAGATAATTGAACTGTGTTGTTATTGATTGGATGCCTCATTAAAAACCTTGCCAGCCAAAACCTCTTTTCACGATTTTTTAAGAGGAGAAAAGACTGGTTCAAGGAAAAGAGTGCATCATTACACATAGTTGAAATGTAAATACATGAGGTTGATTCAACTGTAATATGTCTTCAAATGAGTAGAATTCCATGTCTGAGGAACAACCCTGCCGGACAGTTCTTCTAACTTGTACGTTCCATTGTTGAGGACATGCCGTATCCGGAAAGGGCCATCCCAGTTGGCTGATAGCTTTCCTTCTAAAGAGTTGCGTCTGGCTGACCTGGTTGCTCTCCATACAAGATTGCCTTTGTGAAATGTTCTCGGCTTAACGTTTGAATTGAAACGGCGTGTCATGCGTTGTTTGCATGCCTCGGCCACAATCTGTGCTTTTTCTCGTGTTTCATCAAGGACGTCAAGCTCGGCTCGGAGCGAAGCGTTGTTAGATTCCTCATGGAAGTGCTGTCTTCGGAATGATGGTTCTCCTACTTCAACTGGGATCATGGCGTCCGCGCCGTATGTCAGGCGAAAGGGCGTTTCTTTTGTTGCTGATTGTGATGTACATCGATACGCCCAAAGGACCTCCGGTAACTCTTCGGCCCATGCCCCTTTTGCCGCGCCGAGACGCTTTTTGAGCTCAGTCAAAATGACCTTATTTGCTGCTTCGGCCTGCCCGTTTGATTGGGGGTGCTCGACGGATGTGAACCGATGCCGAATACCAAGATTCCCAAGGAAGGTATTGAACTTCTTATCAGTGAATTGGAGGCCATTGTCCGAAACGATGGCGTACGGGATGCCAAAACGGGTAACCAGACTTTTCCAAACGAACTTCTGGACATTGGTTGCGGAGATGCAGGCGAGCGGTTCGGCTTCTATCCACTTTATAAAATAGTCTACTGCAACCACAAGGAATTTTACTTGCCCTTTTGCCATGGGGAAGGGTCCCAGCACATTGATGCCCCACAAGGAGAAAGGACAGGGGGAGCTGACACTGTGTAACTCGGCTGCCGACGCGTGAATGAGGTTCCCGTGCTTTTGACATTGCACACATTTTTTAACAAAATTGGCACAATCTTCCTTCAGAGTCGGCCAATAGTAACCGGCCCGCAAAACTTTAGCCGCCATTGTTCGCCCGCCCAAATGAGAACCACATATACCCTCATGTATTTCTCGCAAAACGTAATCAGCCTGGAGGGTATCGATGCATTTGAGCAGCGGGGTGGAAAATCCTTGCCGATAAAGCTCATTGGCTACTACTGAATACCGGGTCGCTTGCGTTCGTAATTTTTTGGCTTCCATCAGGTCAGTTGGTAAATCTCCTCGGACAATAAAATTCCGAATGGCTGTTATCCAGGTTGGTGTCTCAGCATCGGTTGCCATGCATTCTCCTGCCACACTAGGAGAAGGAATCTCGAGGTGAATAGTGGTTCGCAACTGTCCTGGCTTTCGGCTGCTGGCGAGCCGAGCTAGCTGATCGGCTCGTTCATTGTTGCTACGCAAGACATGTCGTATGCGCACCTCGGTGAAATCGTCCTTGAGTCTTTGGAAGAGGTGGTAATATTGCAACAGATTGGAGTCTTTGACCTGAAAATTGTCATTTACTTGTTCGGCTACGATTTTCAAGTCGGTCCAGCAGATGATCTTCTTGACACCCATCTCGGTTGCTAGTCTCATTCCGGCTATCAAGGCTTCATATTCCGCCTGATTGTTGGATGCGCGGAAGCCGAACCGAAGGGATTGTTCCACTGTGATGCCTAAGGGGCTAGCAAGGATTACGCCGGCGCCGCTGCCTTGGGCATTAGAGGACCCATCAACATGCATGGTCCACGGCTCGTCTTCAAAACGTCCCAGGGGAGTGAGCTCACTAACAAAATCAGCCAAATGTTGTGACTTGATCGGTCCTCTTGGCTCGAAGGATATGTCAAATTCCGAAAGTTCGACCGACCATGCCATCATCCGGCCAGCGATCTTCGGCTTTTGGAGGACCTTTGCAACCGGGCAGTCAGTTCGGACGACTATTCGGTGGCTTTGGAAGTATTGTCTTAAACGCCGAGCAGCATAGATGAGCCCTAAGGCCACCTTTTCTAGTAGCTGATAACGCCGCTCGGCATCTTGTAGCGTCCGACTGATAAAGTACACAGGTTGTTGATGACCCTGGTTTTCTTGTACCAGGACGGCACTCACAGAATGGTTTGAAACAGCCAGATAAACGACCACATCCAGATCACTGGCTGGTTTGGTGAGTACAGGAGGTGCACTAAGGCGCTTCTTGAATTGCTGGAAGGACTCTTTGCATTCTTCGGTCCAGCTGAACCGTTCTGCTTTTTTGAGTAACAATAGTATAGGCTGAGCTATTTCGGCCAGACGAGGGAGGAACCGAGATAGTGAAGTGAGCCAGCCCGCTAGCTTTTGAACTTCCTTTAAAGTGTTGGGGCTTTTCATATCCAAAACGGCCTGGCACTTGTCAGGATTCGCTTCAATGCCTCGGTTGGACAGCATGAACCCCAAAAACTTTCCACCCGAGACCCCGAACACACATTTTTCGGGATTAAGTCTCATTTGATGCTGCCGAAGGGCCTGGAATACGTCGGACAGGTTATGCACATGCGTGGAAATGTCGCTTGACTTTACCACCATGTCATCCACATATACTTCCATACTCCGACCAATCTAATTATGAAAAATTTTATTCATCAATCGCTGATAGGTTGCTCCGGCGTTTTTCAGCCCGAACGGCATGACCCGATAGTAGTAGTTGGTCATTTCAGTGATGAAAGCCGTCTTTTCTTCATCTTGGGGGTGCATTCGGATCTGGTTGTATCCCGAGTATGCATCCAAAAAGGACAAGAATTTGTGACCTGATGCTCCATCAACAAGTCGGTCAATATCCGGCAATGGGTAGGCTTTTTTTGGGCAGGCTTTGTTCAAATTTGTGTAATCGGTACACATCCGCCACTTCCCGCTCGGCTTTCGGACCATGACAACGTTGGCCAGCCATGTCGTATAGTGTACTTCTCGGATGAACCGAGCATCTAGCAATTTAGCGACTTCAGCTTCGATCGTCGCCTTTCTTTCTTCCCCAGCCTTTCGACGCCGCTGGGCAATCGGCCTTGCCTCTCTGCTGATTGAAAGCTTGTGGCAAAGGAATTCCGGGTCAATACCCGGCATGTCGGAAGGGTGCCATGCAAACAAATCTTTGTTGTCGAGAACTACCTGTGCAATGACATTCCTTTCCTATTCAGAAAGGGTGGTCCCTAGATAGGTGACCTGGGAATCCGAGATCCCCACCCTGAGAGGTTGCTTGTCCTCAATGGGCTCGACTCTCTCATCTTGATCAATTCGAGGGTCAAGGTCCAGTGACGATTGCTGTGACACCGAGTGGACTCGCTTCGGCTTCTCCGTTACTTCTTTGTTCGTTTCTGGTAACCGCAGGCTAGCAAAGTAACATTCTCGTGCGGTTTTCTGATCGGCGTGGATAGTTATCACCCGCCCGGAATCGGATGGGAACTTCATGGCTAAGTGAGGAGTAGACACAACTGCCCCAAGCCGATTCAATGATGGACGGCCGAGCAGAATGTTATAAGATGTGATAGCATGAACTACCACATACTTAACTGAGACATCACGGTATTCTGCTCCTTCGAATCCGAACCGAGTTGACAACTTGATATATCCTTTTGTTTTGACCCGCTCACCTGAGAACCCAACCAGGGGTTCATCATAAGGAACTAGCTCGGATTCCGGAATACCCAGCTGTTTGAATGTGTTCCAATACAGGATATCGGCTGAACTTCCTTGATCGATCAACGTCTTACGTACAATATAGTTGTGAATCTCAACGCTGATTACCATGGGATCATCCTGATCGGGGTCAATACCCTTGAAATCGGCCTCGGTGAAGGTGATAGTGGGGAGGCGACGGCAGACGGTTTCTACTGCATGTACGTGCCGAACGGCTCGAAGGTGTCTCCTCTGGGCCGAAGAGGACGAACCTCCGCCGGCGAATCCACCGGCTATGGTGTTGATGACTCACTGAGGCTGTGCCGAAGGCTCGTCTTCTCTCTTGTCTCTTGATCGGCTACGCTCTCTGTATGAGTGTGTTCTTGTTCTCTGTTCAAGTTGATCATGTCGTCGAGACCGATCGGTGTGCCGGGACGAGTTTGAACGGTCTATGAAGCCATGCAGTTGCCCCTGCTTGATCAGATCTTCGATTTTGTCTTTTAAAGCCGCGCATTCTTCTGTCGAATGCCCCCGATTGCGATGGTACCTGCAAGATTTTGTTGTGTCGACCCTAGGAGGGGTCGAAGCTCGTTTCGGGACTGCCAGCACGTCTGATGCAAGCGCTTGCTCTAGTACGGCGGATCTGCTTGTATTGAGGGGCGTGTATTGTGAGTACCTTGGTCCCCGAGGAGGCTTCTCACGGGGAACCAACTTTTTCGGTCGACCCCGAAAACTCGAATCGGCCAGCTTGTCAGGTTTTGCTAACACTTCTACTCGGGCTTGATTCCGGAATTCGGCCAATTCCTCCATCTGCATGTACTTGTCGGCCCGCCTACGCAAATCATCCATGTCTGTAGGGGGTTTCTTACAAATGTTGTTGGCAAAAGGCCCTGGCTTCAAGGCAGTGGTAAGGTGGTGTAGAGCTACAGCAGGGTTTAAGTCTCGAATTTCGAGCGCCGCTTTGTTGAATCGGCTCATGAATGTCCGAAGGGATTCCTTCTTTTCCTGATGAATGCTTACTAGTGCCAACGAGGTCAATTGGTGAGGCCGACTGGTAGCGAATTGAATTGTGAATTGGGAAGCCAACGTACTGAAAAAATCAATCGAGTTGGCCGAAAGCCGAGTGAACCAACTCAGAGCTCGTCCTTTTAACGATGTTGGGAAAATTCGGCACAAGGCGGCATCATCGGTTGTGCTCAGCGTGACTTGAGTCAAGAACACGTCTACGTGTTCAGCGGGATCGGTGGTCCCGTCGTACTTGTCGAGAGGTAAGGACTTCCAATGATCAAGGAGCGCGGTCTGCATGATGTTTGGGGTAAAGGGGTGCCGGTGTGCCCCAGCTGGTATCGGCAGTATCGGCCGACTGGCTGAAGCCTGGACAGCCGGAGCAGCCACAGAAGTATGGGGGGCAGAGGTGTGATGACCAAGTGAATGGAACGACCCCTGGGTGTGAGTCGTTTCAGAGGGTTTCCATGTGGGATTCCGGTATTGATTTTTGAGGGCAATGTTCTCCTCTCTCAACGCAGCCATCTCGGCAGCATCTCTGTCTCGCTGTTGTTTCATGGCGGCCATTTCTTCCTTCATTTGGCGCACCATATCGGTCAGATTTGTCTCCTCTACCGTCTCGGCTCCCGACTGGGGCTCTTCTTCGGATTGATGTTCAACGTTAGTTTTCCTTGTCTTCACCATGACGTCCGAACAGTGCTGGGTGGGTTTTCTTCAAAAGCTATCGGTTCGGCCCCACGGTGGGCGCCAAAATGTACCTGTCTAAGGGCACACTCGTACTCTTCAGTGGGAAGGGGCCGAACGAGGGTCTTCAAGTGAACTCTTCTGCGCGAGGGGGAGGTACCTGCAAAAGGCACTCCAACGCTCAAGTCAGGATAAGCACGATATTCTAGGATAATTAATGAACAGTGACATACCTTGACAAAAGTAACCTATTTATACTACCAGTGATGGGCCTTGTGAGTAGTGGGCCTCTCCTGAAATTTACCAAATTAGGTAATACGATGCTAATAGGCTAATTATGCCTTAATCACGCACTTATCCTTATTAACCACAATGAGGGCTCTAATTGTTGCCTCTTCATTCGGCTCGGCCTTAGACCGTGCCGTTACTAGTTTGCTGTGCTGAACTGCCTGTTCGAGGCTTGTCCGAGCCGGTCCATGGCCTGCAAAGATGTCTACGGTTCTATTCGTATCGGTCTCAAGCCGAGCCGATTGTATTATGAGGCTCACTTCGGCCTTCGGTTATAGCCCGAGCCGATACTGGTGTCAAGACTTTTGGGCATAACACCGCGTGGGTGTCTGATGGGACGACACGTGTTGATTCACGTGACCGATAGGGTCCTCCCGGTACAGTCAACATAAGAGAAACTTTAGGACAAGAATTATATATTAAAAACTTTTTTAATGCAAGAAATTATATCTATAATTTTTTTTCTTTCAATATTCCTTGTTTTTACTTCCTTTTATTTTATTTTAGCTAATTATAAAATTAGTTTCTACATTTTATTAGACATCATTCGTGATTTTGCATACATGTCAATGGTGAATTTGTTATGTAATATACCTTAGTCATCGGTAATTTTATATATTATAATAAATAAAAATTAAAAAAAATATTCATAAATGAAAACCAATATAAAAGTGTATATTATGATTGTCAGACCCTCGTTACAAAATTGTATGACAACACCTCATGCTATCATATTGTAAATCAGCAAATTAACATTTCAACAAATCAATGCAAGTCCCCATTACAAAATTTAGAGCACTTCAAACCTTGTCTCACCCAATGCATCAAAACATTAGCATTTAAGTTAATCGATCAATTTAATTTTTAAAATTAAAATTAGTATTATTCCTAAAATGAATAATTATTTAAATTCTTAACATAATCGATCGACAAGCATTTAGTTTTCAAAATAATTAATATTTAATAATGTTAAAAGTTAAATAATATTTTTTGTAATTTTAATTAAAGTTATCTATAATTGTAGTTTAATTAATAACATATTAAAAATATTTAATTCATTTAAACTAAAATAAATTTTACTTTTTTAACATAAATTCTCAAAATAATGAGAGAAAAAATACAATCTAATTTTCTTAACATAATCAGTAAATTGCATAGAACAACTATTGAAAGTTATACTAGTTTTCGGTTGTAATTTACACTTAAATATGCTATATGTAACGCCCTAATTTTCATACTTTTATTGAGGGTAATTTAATAATTTTCATAAATTTATAAGGGTGATTTAGTAGCCTAGAATGGGTCGTTCCAAACTACTAAAATAAGGGTGATTTAGTAGCTCAGAATGGGTCGTTCCAAACTACTAAAAACACCTATAACCCTAGTTGAGAACGGATCGTTTCAAACAAGGTCGTTATGCGTTAAAATGCAACCCCAGAACAGGCCGTTCTGGTTTATGAAAAGCCCGTTTTGGATGTGAATTTTACACATAACGAATGAGTCCAGGATGAGACGTTCCAGATTCGAAACGGGTCGTTCCGGCCACGCTTCATGCCTATAAATAGCACGCTCTGCCACTTCCAAAAGCACACTTTTCACTTCTGACTTCTTTTCTTTTACACTCTCTGAATACCAAGGAGAACCCAGAGGAGGAGACCAACCAGATCCTGCTTAGTTTCAGCTACTGCTTATCAAGGTACGGGGGAAAAGGGGATTAATTGTATGCAAAGTTACATGAGAGAATTAGGTAGCTGAGGAATCCTGTAGGATTATGGGTAATTTTATAATTATTTCTGTTTGAGGAATTGATGATCCCATTAGATTTTGCATGTATTAAGGATTAGGAATATGGAATTAAATTTGTAAAAATGATGATCTAGGTGAGAGAACGAAATTGTAGAAAAGTGCTTCTGAGTTAGGTTTTGGACAAATTGGGGATTTTACTAATTGAGTTCAGATTCTATTAAATTGGTGATTCAATTGAGTGTTATATTAATTTATAAATGTTATTATTATATTATATGATAAAAATTGATGATCTAGTTGTGGATTCACGGTGAATTGCTTAAGAGGTATGTGAACCACTATTTTGCGTGGACTTATCTATTTTGTGTATGTGATACGAAATTGAGTTATGGAATGCGATGTGATGTCTTGGCACAAATGTATACATTATATCTACCGTTTTAATCTTGAATTGATAACATGATGTGGCGAATGGTATATTATTGTTCAATTAATTATGATGTGAGTATGTTGACATGAAATGAGATGTTGTATTGAATGTGAATGTGATATATATGATTGTGGTTCCTCACACTTATGACCAGGGATGGCACGACCCTTGGGTATGCGATGCTACAAGGATGGTGTGACCTTGGGATAGTGTGGGATGTGTAAGGCAATTAACACATGATGGAAATATGCCAAGGCCAAGGAATCCAAGAGGTGATACTTTAAAAGAACCAAGAGGAATGGGATGATTTTGAAGACCTTTTCATATGTTGTATATAAACTTGTACATAGTTTCCTTGTATAGGCTTATTTTTGCCTTTATTTTTGTGAGACACTTTATTTCTTTTTATAGACTATTGTATATTTTTTCTAGGGTAGGTTACTTGGAGACTTTGACTCCATTTAACCTAATTTTGAAGTACATTCATTTTCTATTTTTTTAGTAGTAGAAGTGGGGTGACATTTAGCAATGCTTGAGGGTGTGACTAGTAATTGGGCCAGAATTGGGCCTAGGCAAAATTTTACATATTTGACTCATTTTGCTCTTAATTTTTCATAGGTTTGATCTAGCTAGGTCTCATCATCTTTGGATGGACCTAACTAGACCAAACCAGACATGTTTTAAAATTAATTCAAGGAGCAAAAGGGAACCAAGGCCGCCTAGCTTGCCTTAGCTTCTACCTTTGGCCGAATTGCTTCTCCCACTTGGAAGCATTGAGAAGTTTGTGCTACAAGCTTCTCCTTAGCTTGCTTCCCAAGCAAGCTAAGTTAGTAGCTTGCTCCACAAGCTTTTTAACTAGCTTGGACGGTCAAGAAACTCAACCATGGTTCACTTGAACCATGGTTAAAGTTAGCTTGCTCCCTAAGCTACCTCCTTCTATATATTTGTAACTCTAACCTTTTCCCTCACTGTGGATGAATAATATTCAGAAATTCTTATAGAATTCTCTCTTCCAAAGCCTTAGAATTTCGTGGAGAACTTTCTCCCCTAGGTTCCTTCACAAAGGTTTCAAACCTTTGTGCCTTGGTGCCTCAATCTTCTAGCTTCTTGAAGAAGCTACCGAACCTCCTTATTGCTTTTCTACCATTAAAGCTTCTTCAAGGTGTTTCTCTTTTCATTGGCGTGTCAACCTCAAGAGAAAAAAAAGATTGAAGGTGGAGAGTGAAGAAGAACATCAACCACTTCTACTCACTTCCATCATTTTTGGTATCAGAGCCTTGGTGCTCTTGAGGTTATGTGTTCTTTTCCTGAATTGAATCTGTGTTGTCTCTTCCATATTTTAACGTCAAATGTTTGTTTGCTGTATGGATCTAGATTTAATTCACATTTTTATGGATCCAAAATGTCACATAAGAATTGATTGATTCATGTTATTGCTTGTTCCATTACTCTTGAATCAATCTGGTTTTGTGCTTTAGGTTCTTGTGCTTATGCTTTTTATTTTTGCTTGAGTCTTGCCTATTCCTTGAATCTGAATCCGTGATTGGATTATAGTAATAGCATGTGTTTTTATTTTTGAATCATATGTTTTGTCTAGAGTCATGTGTAGTCTTTTTCATGTCATTGAATCCTAGACTAGCTTGTTGAACCTTAATTTTGTGTTGTTTTGTGTCTACATTTGGTGCGGTTTTTTGTTTTATAATCTTGAACCTGACCATATGTCTTTTGATTTACACCTTTGAGTTCTTAATTTGCTATTAGTTCTAGAAAATTTCTTAGAGTTAGGTTTCCTTAATGTTTTGCTAAAAAGTTTGTCAAAAAAAATGGTGTAAACAATATTTGCCTCCTAGGACTTCTTGTGTCTTGTGTGTGGCTGAACTGTGTGAACGTTATTTGTCCATTAAAACAGAGGAAAAATAGAGGTATAAGTGTACAAAAAGCATTATAAAAACAAAAGAAAAGGTTCTTGAAAAATTTCTTAAAAATTTGTACCAAAATTGTGAAGCACTAGAAAAACAATCTCACTAGTATACCTCTTGTTTTGTGAAATTTTTGGCAGCATTTTTGCCTCATTAAATCCGAGACTTATACATCTTTAAAAGGAATTAATACTCCTGTGTTGTAAAAGAAAAAGAATTGAAAGAAAATATCAAAAAAGAAAACAAAAGAAAGAACACAGAAAAAGCCAAAAAGGAGTGAAAACTAGTGAACTTTTGGCTCTCAGATTTTGTGTGTTTTTTGCCTTAATTTTCTGTCCAGCCACACATTGCTTGCTTTTGAGTCTTATTTTGTTTTATATCTTAGATTTTATTTTGTAATCTACTCTAGTGCCATTGATAGGTTTCCCTTTGTGTGTTAGCCTTTCTTTGGTGCCTTAATTTTTGCTTGTCTTTGTTTGGAACTCTTTCTAGTTTTGTCTCATTAAATTTCACCATTTGGTGTAGCTTCTCCTAATTGTTCCTTTTCAGTTTTTATCATATATTTCAGCAACTTAAGGTGTGTTGGGCGCTTCTTGAAGGTGTGGAAGGCCAAGCTA